TGTGTGTGTGTGTGTGTGTGTGTGTGTGTGTGTGTGTGTGTGTGTGTGTGTGTGTGTGTGTGTGTGTGTGTGTGTGTGTGTGTGTGTGTGTGTGTGTGTGTGTGTGTGTGTGTGTGTGTGTGTGTGTGTGTGTGTGTGTGTGTGTGTGTGTGTGTGTGTGTGTGTGTGTGTGTGTGTGTGTGTGTGTGTGTGTGTGTGTGTGTGTGTGTGTGTGTGTGTGTGTGTGTGTGTGTGTGTGTGTGTGTGTGTGTGTGTGTGTGTGTGTGTGTGTGTGTGTGTGCGTGCGTGCGTGCGTGTGCGTGTGCTAAGCCCCGGATCTTCTTCAGTCCTAAATACGCCCCTGGCCAACTTCACAGCAGAAATGTTTACACCTCGTTCAAAAACAAATTTTAGGCTTGTTGGTTCTAGATTACTGTCATGACAACTCTGAGAGGGGGGATATTTTTCGTAACCTACCAGTTTATATACAATTAAAGCTTGAAATTAGGAATAATTGATGATGAATGACCTGCACTTGTATAGCACCTTTGAGTCAGAAGACTCCAAATCGCTTTACACTACTGCAGTCTTTCCCAACCCTGGTCCTCAAGGGGCTCTGCCCTACATATATTCCATGTCTGCTTCAGCCAACCTGATTCACATTGCCTCTTACCCCGGCTTTCCACAGGAGTCGTCAGCAGCACGTTACTGCAGCAGCACGTCATAGCTGCTGATAGGAACCGCTGTGGTCAACAGAACCTTTTCCACTGGAGCCGTCAGCAGCGCGAGTCGGCCGCGTCTCAGGAGCAGCATGTCGCGGCCTTTACGCGCCGGTTCTATTTTCTACGCGCGACGCCTCTGAAACGGGTCAAGTTCAACATTTTTGGGGAAGGAAAGACAGGAAATCGGACGCGGAAATGGAGAGAAGCTCCCGAGATTTTCAGAATAAAGAACGCACTGCCTTCCGGTTGCTTTACTTTAAAAAAGGTTACTAACTGTGCGTCCCCGTGAGAAGTTATCGCCTAGCTAGCGGTCTCCTTTGTTTTTCAGGTCCGTATTGCCAATTATAAAACGGACAGAACATAAAACACAAACCTTTTGGAGCCATGTTGTAGTTTTCTCCTGCTTGTTATTGTGTTTACTGATGAAGTCACTCGTGTGACTTCGTGCTCTGTCGGTGACAGCTGCTCCCCTGCTGCTTCGCGTCTCGTGGGAAGGGCCAAGCAGCAGTTTACGCGAGCAAGACGTGCTGCTGCAGTAACGTGCTGCTGACGGCTCCTGTGGAAACCTGGGGTTAGGGAGGACATCAAGTGCTATGATGCCTGTTAATCACTCATTTAAGTCAGGTGTGTGTGGTAGCAGGGGAACACTGGTGTTTCAAAGGGCAACATGGAAAACATGCATGACAATGTGCCCTGAGGACCAGGGCTGGGTAACGCTGCACTACAGTATGATTCACCCATTCACACCCTGGTGGTGATGAGCTACAATATAGCCACAGCTACTCTGGGACACACTGACAGAGGCAAGGCATTCCCAACACTGGATCCGCTAGTCCCTCCGACCACCACCAGCAGGCAAGGCAGGTTAAGTGTCTTGCCAAACGACACACCAGCAGCGTTCTCTGGCCTGAGCTGGGATCGAAACCGCAACCTTGTCCAATAAATGAAAAAACAAATTTTCTTTTAAATAGACTTTGCAATGATGTTCTAGTATTTTGAAGTCTCATTCCAGACTTAAGTGAGCGCATAAGAGAGAGCTCTGTCCATAATAGTTCCTGAAGGCCGGTAACGGCAAAAGTCCCTTTGTGGCAGTGACATACACAGAACTTAAACTGCGCTTAGGAGCCAATGATGTAAGGCCTAATGACATATGTCCATTTACAATTTGATAGTAAAAGTAATTCCAAGACTTTTGGATAATTCTGGAATGACTATGCATTTGACTGTAGTAATGCAGAGCAGTGATGAGCCAGAGCAGTGATGAGCCCAGTTTGGCAACCTGTTGTACTTGTAAGCTCTGTTACAGTTTTACCATTGGCTGAACAATTACTTCTGTTGTAAGTGACCAAACAGGGAGACCGTATGACAAAGTGACATAATTGCATTGACATGTTTTAGAAATGGACTGATAAGTCCTGATTTTACTATAGAGGTATAACTTTTGATTTAACTCTCCAGATGGGGGTTGGACTTCTTTTTACAATAATTAAGATGTGAGTCCAGAAAGACTTAAATGTAGGAACAACTGAGTTTATTTCCGGGTAAAGTAATGGGATTGGATATGGAAAACTGTCGCTGATTAGAGTAAAAGTGCATGCATTCTGTTTTCTTCAAGTTAAGTGTTAAGTAACAGTCTTGCAACCAGTCATATAAATGCTGAAGATCTGCGTTAAGTTTAACACTACTTATAGCGATGTTTGGACCAGACAAAGTGTCAGCATACAAAAAAGAATAGAAAAAATTTAGCACATAAGGAAGATCATTGACTTGCAGTACAAAGAGTAAAGGGCCTAAAATGCTGCCCTGTGGAACACCCAAACAATATTTTAATGGTGGTGATATTGCTTTGCCAATTTTTACAGTCTGAGACCCATCGCTTAGATATGACTCAAACATGTTTATCAGGAGGAAAAATTAAATTAAGTTTAACAGAATCTGAGGACTGACATTGTCAAAGTGACCATGGTTTAACAACGCATGTATCTGCTCTATTAACAGCAGCAGAGCTGACATAGTTGACCGGTGAGGTCGAAAACCATGCTGGCAGTCACTGTGCTGGTTGTCATCATCAAGATAAGAGACTAATTGATTTGATGACTGTTGTTTTTTGCAATCACTTCGGTTAAATATGCTTTTTTTCTCCGTGTCCAGGACCGAATGTCGGGATAACAAGTCTTCTTCTGAGGGTTTTGGGGGCAAAAACGTTTATGAACTTGTTCCTTTTAAGCTAGCATTAAGTTATTTTTGTTCCTATCTTAGAACTATTTCTCCTAAATGTTGTTTTTTTCCTCCTTGTTAATAAAAGGTAACAGCAAAATCATCTCAGAAGAATAAAGTGCTGTTCAAACAGCCGTCTTGGCTTAAAGTAGCTGAGAATAGTAGTGAGACATTTTAAAGGCTTGTCTCAGTATTCTGCAAAGGTTGTACCGTCATTTACATGCTTTGTTGGAAAGTGTCTCCTTGAACACGACACTCCTCTCAGCACATCAATCATGCTGTCAGAAAACTGACTTTTGTGTCAAACTTGACGTCTGCTCTCGGTTATATGATGCAATATTTAGACCATTTCTTTCTGAAGCATGCAGTCAGAGTCTGACTTTAGATGATTTCTTTGGCTTATCAATAAAGATTCTGTGATTGCCCCTGGTGAAAACCATTTGAAATGATTGCACAAAAGGTGAAGTATGATGAAAAATCTAAAATGTCTCGTTAGCAGCACGGTGATGGTGGCTGAAGATTCCTACTCGCCCAGAATCAATGTTTTTGAGTGATGCATTTGTCTGTGATGGTGACAAATAAGTGTGAAATGACAGCAGGGTTAAAACAAATGTCTGCAGCAGCAACTGCTGTTGGAAGACTGCATGTGTGCCAACTGCACAGGATTACCTGTTGCACCTAGAAATGGGTTCATTCTGACATTTAATGCCATCTGGATGAATGCCACAAATTTTATCTGAAAACGTTTTCAGCTATTTCTGAAACTAAGTGACAATGAGCAGTTTCCTGCTCCTCTACCCTACTGGTTGAAAGTGGAACGAACTGTCTTATACAACTCTGCTGTAGCTAGCGCTGACGAGCTAACACTCAGATGAGCCAACAAATTCTAAAATGAGCCGAACTAAAAAGATCCACACTGTCGAACAAAAATATTATTAATAGTCCAGTAGCAACAAAGTCAGGTCACAATCAGTTCGTGATTTTGTAGCTTCCTTTAGCTCCCTCAAACTAGAGTAGGCTACAACGATGTTCACTCTGGTGTTACCTCTTTAACTCATTAACAGACATTTTTTTCTTGTGCTTTTTTGACGTGTGGCTAACTGAAAATGCTAATTGCTAGCATTACAGCTAACAGCCATGAAGCAGATAACGAGCAACTCCTAGAACACCTACCCACTCCACAAAAATATCTAGTGTGGTTTTTGGTCAGAGGGCTGAAGAGCGGTGGCAAATACGAATCTGGTCACATTTGTAACTAAATCACTGAAATGTGAAAGCTCTAGCATAATTTAATAACAACTGTTTGTCAAACTTGACCGCATGACTGCTGTTGGGGCAGAACCAAGACCTTGCAGTTTTATGGTGTTGGCATCATAAGCATCCAACAGCTCTTTAAAACGGATTGGAAAGATCTGAATAGAGATGAATTTACAACAAAGTTAATTTGCCACTCTAAGAAAAACATAGATTTAATCGCATTTATTTGTAGTTGCTTCAAAATTTTCTATTGCATAAAAAGTTCTATATTATGTGCGACTCTTTAAAAAGGCACCAATTTTGCAGCTTGTTCTGAAAATGCTGCAGTTTTCGTAAAGGAGGAGAGACGTTTTCACCCAGACATTTGGACAGATCATCAGGGGGTGTTTGACCCCTGTCTGTAGCCAGGCTCTGGATCTGAGGTGTGTGTTCAATGATCACGCTTCACTCAGGCTGGAGCTCTGGTTGATGCATGAGTCCTCAGCGTGCGTCTTTTCTGCCTGGTTGCTTTAACTCTGCGCGACTTCAGATTCCTAATATAGCACAAGCATTTCACATCAGTTTTGGGCTTTATTATCTTTTGTCTTGAACAAGACTTGGTGGCTAAGGTGAACAGTGTAAAACAAAGCATTTATATCCTTGCAAAGTTCCTATTTTTATTAAATTTGAGCTTCTTAGCTTTCAAATTGTTGAAAAAAGGGAAAGCGACTGGTTTTCTGCCTCTTGGATGTGTGTGCACTCCTGAGTCCTCCCTGCGTGGGAACATGTATACCTCACAGTCATGCTGCTGATGTCTGACCCTGACATTTCTTCTTCTCTCCTCAGCAATAAAAGAATTCCCCGCTGACCTTTTCACCAACAAAGAACGAAAGAGCGGAGCCGTCCTGCTGCACATCTTGGCGGTAAAACTCGTTCAAGTCATGCATGACCTACGTGAACTTTACACAAATCAGATTAGTAAGATTGAGAAGTCGTGTTGATTATGACTGTAATGTGAAGTGGACCATGGTACATTTAAAGGGATTGAAAATTGAAGTTTTATCTGACATATATGCCAGAGTTATATACAGGTGCTGGCCAGTAAATTAGAATATCATCAAAAGGTTGAAAATATTTCAGTAATTCCATTCAAAACGTGAAACTTGTACATTATATTCATGCAATGCACACAGACCAATGTATTTCCAATGTTCATTACATTTAAATTTGATATTCATAAGTGACAACTAATGAAAACTCCAAATTTGGTATCTCAAAAAATTAGAATATTCTGAAAAGGCTGAATATAGAAGACACCTGCTGCCACTCTAATCAGCTGATTTACTCAAAACACCTGCAAAGGCCTTTAAAAGGTCCCTCAGTCTTGTTTTGAAGGCACCACAATCATGGGGAAGACTTCTGACTTAACAGCTGTCCAAAAGACAATCATTGACACCTTGCACAAGGAGGGCAAGACACAAAAGGTGATTGCTAAAGAAGCTGGCTGTTCGCAGAGCTCTGTGTCCAAGCACATTAACAGACAGGCGAAGGGACGGAAAAAATGTGGTAGAAAAAAGTGTACAAGCTCTAGGGATAACCGCACCCTGCAGAGAATTGTGACGACAAACCCATTCAAAAATGTGGGGGAGATCCACAAAGAGTGGACTGCAGCTGGAGTCAGCGCTTCAAGAACCACCACGAGGAGACTCATGAAAGACATGGGATTCAGGTGTCGCATTCCGTGTGTCAAGCCACTCTTGAACAAGAAACAGCGCAAGAAGCGTCTCGCCTGGGCCAAGGACAAAAAGGACTGGACTGATGCTGAGTGGTCCAAAGTTATGTTTTCTGATGAAAGCAAGTTCTGCATTTCCTTTGGAAATCAAGGACCCAGAGTCTGGAGGAAGAGCGGAGAAGCACAGAATCCACGTTGCATGAGGTCCAGTGTAAAGTTTCCACCGTCAGTGATGGTGTGGGGTGCCATGTCATCTGCCGGTGTTGGCCCACTCTGTTTCCTGAGGTCCAGGGTCAATGCAGCCGTCTACCAGGAAGTTTTAGAGCACTTCATGCTTCCTGCTGCTGACCAACTTTATGGGGATGCAGACTTCACCTTTCAACAGGACTTGGCACCTGCACACAGTGCCAAAACCACCAGCACCTGGTTCAAGGACCATGGTATCCCTGTCCTTGATTGGCCAGCAAACTCGCCTGACCTTAACCCCATAGAAAATCTATGGGGTATTGTGAAGCGGAGGATGCAATACGCTAGACCCAACAATGCAGAGGAGCTGAAGACGACTATCAGAGCAACCTGGGCTCTCATAACACCTGAGCAGTGCCACAGACTGATCGAGTCCATGCCACGCCGCATTACTGCAGTTATTGAGGCAAAAGGAGCCCCGACTAAGTATTGAGTGCTATACATGCACATTCTTTTCATGTTCATTCTTTTCAGTTGGCCAACATTAGAGAAACAAACATTTTTTCATTGGCCTTTAGAATATTCTAATTTTCTGAGATACCAGATTTGATGTTTTCATTGGTTGTCACCTATAAATATCAAAATTAAATGTAATGAACATCGGAAATACATTGGTCTGTGTGCATTGCATGAATATAATGTACAAGTTTCACGTTTTGAATGGAATTACTGAAATATTTTCAACCTTTTGATGATATTCTAATTTACTGGCCAGCACCTGTAAGTGGGGTAAAATGACTTGTAGCCCAGTCATTCTCCTGACCCGGCTGTACTTTTAGCTTTAGCTTAGCATAAAACACAGCAAGTGAATGGATCCAGCTAGCATTGAGTAAAAACGTCCTTAAAGTCACTCCGTAGTGATCCCAATTCTGGTTGGTGACCCAAATAATCATACTGAATGTGTTCAACGTGTGCATCTGTATTTATGGAAGGTGTCTTTGAGAGTCTTTGAGACCGCCTTAGACTTCAGTGGAGGCTTACAGCTGTGCTTTGTCATAAAGTAGTACCAAGTCTATGCCTTGGATTACTTTATTATTTTCACTTGCAGTCATTCTGATTATTTAAGAAATGGGATCACTACTGAGGGAATTTAAGGATGTTTTTTATTCACAATGCTAGTTGGATCCATTCACTTACTGTGTTTTATGCTAAGCTAAAGCTAAAGGAGTACAGCCGGGCCAGGAAAATGACTAAACTGGTTACAAAAAGATTTTTCCCACATATGACTCTAAGAAATATGTCAACATACAGTTTCAGTTTTGGGTGGAATGTCCCTTTTTAGGCTAAAATATTCCTTTTGTTGATTGGTTCCAATATGTTGCTCTATAATTTTATTAAGAGGCCATCTAAGTGTAATTAAAGTCTTTATTTCCATTTCTATATAGATTTAAATTTCTAAAATAATCTGGCACCTTCACCTATACAGTTGAATGGTGTAATGGTGTAAAATCCTCACTAATGTGGAGGATGCAGTGTGAAGTCCTGCACTGCCCCCTGTGGTCACCATCGGCAGAGCAGGTCCATCAGAAGCTGCTGGGTCCTGATGTCATCAGACTGATCTATAATTTAGAGATCTCCTCTTACATCTCATCATGGTGATGAGAGCATCCAGATCTGTTATTCTTTTTTCAGCCCTTGCTCCTGTTTCAATAGTCACATGTACACTCATATACTCCACTTGCCCTTAAGCAGCAACATGCGCTATTTTTTAATAAACTCATGCAAGCGATTGTGTCTGCAGACCCTCTACATGTTCCTGGCTCTCGCCATCACATGTGATGAGTACTTTGTGACTTCGCTGGACAAAATCTGTGAGGTAAGGAGAAGCGGCCCGTCTTTTTCAGCTTGACTTTGAGTATCCTGTAACGAATGCGCCGTCTTTCCTCCTCCACCGCAGAAATTAGATCTCAGTGAAGATGTGGCAGGAGCCACCTTCATGGCAGCTGGCAGTTCGGCTCCAGAACTCTTTGCATCTGTCATCGGTACGTGCTCGTGCAGCATGCAGACGTTCACTTATGTTTGGTGTCAGCGGTAGTTCAGAGCGTGCTCCCTGCTTGTGTGCAGGTGTCTTCATCACCCACGGTGATGTTGGCGTGGGCACCATTGTCGGCTCAGCAGTCTTCAACATCTTATGCATCATTGGTGTCTGTGGAATCTTTGCTGGACAGGTGTGTGTGTGTGTTCTCTGACCGTGCACTTTCCTGCTGCAGCTGCATCATTTTGTTTATTTATAGGCTGCAAAGTGGTACATGTGCAGCACAAAGAAGGTGCTTTTTTTCTACTCTTATTTATTCAAGGAGAAACAAAAGTGTAGAACTTCTCTCTGAGGATGTGGAAGCATCAGAGAAAGCATCTGAGTTTTAGAGCATCAGAGGAAAGTCGCAGGTGGAAATATCAAAAACTGGATCTTTTAGGTTGCACAAAAAACAAACATGTTTTGAGTCTTTAAAAAAACGCTTTGTGCAAACTCTGGCTTTCAGAGCTGTGCTGCACTGAAATACAGATTTAGGCAGAACAAACTTTTAAAACCCACATTTTTTTATTTTCTCCCAAAAAGTCAGATGGATTCATCTTCAGCCCAGAATAGACTTTTTATTAGTCTGATTTTAACCAACTCCAGCATTTGTTTTCATTTAAAATGCTGTTTTCAGGATCCTGAATCACTGAATTGATCAAATGTGTCGAACTGATCCTGAATTCTGTTGGCATTTTAAAATCCACATAAAACATTTAAGTGCTTTTTGTTCAAACTTTAATAATTTTTAATTATAATAATAACTGGTGTCATTGAGTAATTTGAATCACTTTTGCACACAACATGCTAGTTCTTGCTATTCACTTCCATTGTTTATGCTAAGCTAAAGCAGACGGACTGCTGCCAGACCAAGAGAATTACTGCGCTGGTTACAAGATGCTTTTCTCTCACTTGTCTAACTCTGGGGAATACGGGACTCTGGGGAATACGGGAATAGTGGAATATTCCTTTAAATCTGTAAAAGTCTTTTTGTTAAATGTGTGGATTTATTCAACAATCCTTTCCAAGCATCTGCCTCGTATGACAAAGCGCTGACTCTGACCTGTGAACGCTCAGGTGGTGGTGCTGACCTGGTGGGCAGTTTTCAGGGACTCCTTCTACTACATCCTGTCTGTTGTGGCTTTGATTGCAGTAAGTTCCCTAAGATTTTCATTTTCAGTTTTTTTGTTATTTAACCAGCCTAAAATGAGTACCTCTATTTTCCAGTTTATCTACGATGAGAAGATTGTTTGGTAAGTAACTCGTCATGTTTTAGACTTTTTCTTTAAAGGTGTGGAACACTGAAAAAAAAAACACTTTTAATGATTATTTCTGGTTATAACCAGTCATTCTGAGTTTTTTATGCAGGCTGAACATGAAAATAGTCTCCTACACCAATCTCCTGCATTAGTTTCTGATAGAAAATAGATGCTGAAACTCTAGGATTAGAAAATCCTGACAGATCTACGTCACGCTGTCACTAAACAATCATAGACTCGCCTATTTTGACAATGACTGGGAAGGCTGTTGTTGGTTTGGTGTCCAGGAGAATGTCTCGACTAGTACAGGCTAACAGTTAGCGTTAGCATTTCCACCACATGGCAGAACTCCTCCAGGCTTGAATTATTTGTGGAGATAAACTAACGTTGCAAGTCAGTGGTAGTCATGTAGCTGTTATCCGGAACAAGATGTCCAAAATCAGGAAATAAGACTTCAAATCCCGCCGTCTGAAGCTCAGCTGTGAAATGGCTCAATTCTAGTTCCTGGAAATGGTGCACCGGTGTATTTTGCCCCTCAGAATGACTTACAAGGCATTCATTCCTTCTAGAGACAACTACAAATGTAGTGATTAAACGAGTGTTCCACACCTTTTAAGATGGAGTACAGTTAAACATTTGCTTTTTCTGTTGTATTCAGTGAGAGCTTTTCAAAGTAAAAGCCTAGCAATGTCAGATATGTGGATGTAGCAGTTTGAGTCAAATCTGGAAATTAGCACTAATGGTGATCTCTCATTTAGCTCGGTGTTCGTGTTGGGAGTGACTGTCTGCTAAATGCACACCAAGGTTTAGATCTATACAACTGACTGACCATTTTTGTTGTCTAGGTTCAGCCTGCTTCGGTTAACTAGCTTTTAGACGTAGATCCAGTAATAGAGAAGGTCTCTCATAAAGTCTGTCATAAACATCGAGATGCTTAAACACAGTTGTCCCCATATTCTAGCGCTGCTGTGTTCCTCTGAAGTGGAATTGGAGGTTTCCTGATTAGACAGATGAATTTGACCTATTCTGTCCTTCTCTCCATCAGGTGGGAGAGTTTGGTGCTGGTCGTCATGTACGCCGGATACATCCTCGTCATGAAGTGAGTGCTGCACGTCCTCTAAATGGCTCCTGTTTAATCGAGCAACACGGAATCATAAAAGGTTGTGTTTTAACATCTGTGAGCTTATGAGTATAAATGGCTACGCACTCACAAGAGGACAGTCTGCCTCCAGCTGGTGGAGTGTTCCATTTAGGTCTCCTGCCCAGATGGAGCAGCTTTTCCACTGGATGGCTCATGCCAGCCTGCTGCGAGACAATAAAAATGAAAATTTTATTGGGTGATTTGGCACATTTAAAATGCAGTTTTAGTTTTGTATTTTTATGTAGGGAGGAGCTGGAAATGTCTGAAATGAACTTTTTAATTCTAATGTCCAGATGTAACCTCATTCATCCAGAAGTTCAGGAGAACTTCTTGCAGAGTACACACAGAGTACAGACGCTTCTGCTTTTGCTCCCTTATCTTTTTTTCCCAAGGCTCTTTTTGTCCTGTCTGCCTACAGAGCGCTTCTCTGCATTTCTTCTGGAAATCCCTATTTTTCAGAAATGGATTTAATTGGTCATTCAACGTGATTGACAAGATTTTTTCTACGATGAGAACGGAGGAGGGGGCTCCCACTTGCCCTCATGGGACACATGCAGCGGGATATGCACTCGATTCCTGGAAGGTGTGGAGGATCGTTTCTCTCTCCCAGCTGTCCATTGAGGACGTTGAAGATATGTGGATATTTGGCCTGATGATCACTGGATTTCTTTTGATTGGAGTGGGAGGATATCTGGTTTTCTGGAAATTTGGGAAGATGGAGCGATTGGAGGGCGACCCGCACCCACGGGAAGCACCGCCCGGGTGGAGACCTCACAGACTGGGACGTTACTCGAGGTGAATCGTAAGCTGGAAAATGTCTTAGCTGCATTACCGGTGTTAGTGCACAAAATGGATGCCATCGCGGAGAGGGTCACCGGACGGTGTGGAGATGTTTAATAACCTAAATTGGCTTCACTGAAGGACTGGAATGACCAGTTACAGACTGAAGGCAGAGAGGAAAATCATCTCTGCCTGACCCAAACAGTCTTGTTATCCAAATCTGACGCCAAGGCAGCCTTGAGCTGCTAACAACAACCCCCACGAAGGAAGGAATGCAGACAGATGCTGTGAAAACCCGTCCTACCCCCCCGCCTTCAGGTTGTGGACTTCTGTCTTGCGAGGTCATCAATCTGCAGGAACTCAAATGTGCTCTGCGCACCTCCAAATCTCCCTCCCTCCTGTGGATACAGCTGGCTAAGCGCCACACAGGGCTGCTCCCGCTGGGGAATCAGGATCCCAAATCCCCCCACCCCCCACCCCCCCCTATCGGAGTCTCATGTTGTGAACTGTGATGTTTGTGCTTATATGTTTGAGGCGTTTTTTTTGCATAGTACAGCTACGCCTTGCCGGGAGTAACTCTGGTATGCCTTTTTTCCCTCCCCCAATTTAACCTCATGTAATTCCCTTTTTATCTTTTTAAGGTAACGCGACTCGTGTTGCGAAGGACCACAGGCACCAATTCTTGTCATGTGTCTTGCCCATGTATGTCTGATCTCTGAATTGTGTGTACTGAAACTCAATTTCATTTCTCTGTATGTCTTGCACATGTGGTAGAATTGACAATAAAACTGACTTTGACTTTGAATTTTTATTTAAATCAAAGCCAACCTCCAGCATAAGCACTCCCCTTTAGGCCACTTTTCACTTTAAAAGTCCAGATTAATACCAGCCGTGCTCTCTCTCTCTCCCATAAGAGCGCCGGCTTCGCCGGATCACTCCTCTTTTCTCATTCCGATGAATTAATGGTTACTGTAGGATATGTCGTCATGTCTGCCCCCTCCCCCAAATTTCCACTGACCGTTTTGGGCCAAAATGGACTAGTGTGTTCAATATAGCACAATAAAAGCTTTGAGATGACCTCCTGGGGCTCTGATGTGAGATCATGTTCCCACCCTCCTCACTCACCAGATTTAAGCGGAGGGACAACAGATCCAGATCTCACCTCAGGAGGGGTTTAACTGGCGTTGTCTCTAGGTACGACACCAGAAATGGGCAATAATCAAGAAATTATTGATCTTGAAGTTAATAATTTGCGTGATGACTATTTATTGCACTTGACCTTCAAGGATGTCTCCCGTCTTGCATGTTATGTTTTCCTGCTTCAACACACTTTTATCCGAGTGAATAATGGCTTCTGTCAACAAGCTGCGCAGGAATCTGATACAGACAGTAAACTGAAGTGGGTGCTCCGGAGTGAAGCATCTAAAACGTGCAAAGGTGACCCCTGCATTCCAACTGGAGAATGGAGAAGCACGGATTAGCGTTTGATGGATCGTTGTAGCTTCTATTGAAATGTTTAAAAAAAAGTCCTTCAGGTTATTTAGAGGGCAACCGTTTAAGCTGCGTTTGTGTCACAAATACCAGGGTTTTAGATTAAAAAAAAAACCTTTTGCTGCTGCATAAAACATGCTGCTTTTTCACGAGGTGGGAAGTTTTATTTTTGTCTAAGGCCAAAAATATCAAGCTCAGTCTGTGGCATTGTTGCACATTTTCTTTGAGTATCTCTTTTCGAAGGTCAATTGAATGTGTCGGCCATATTTAATTAATATTTTTCACTTTCTAATGCGCATCCAATGATTTCATTAAATTTAAAGATTAGCAGTTTTATACTTTTTTTTTAATGAGTTGCACATGCAGCCAAATGTGAAAATAGTCTTCTACCCCCTCCCTGCATTAGCTACTAATAGAAAACAGACGAGAAAACATTAGGATCAGAAAAGCCTGACTGAATATTGGCATTCACGACTCGCCCATAGTCACTCGTGACGGGGAAGGCTGTCTTAGCGTCCAGGAAACTGCACGTCTCCGCTAGTGGAAGCTAACTGTTAGCATTAGCCACTCCACCACATGGCAGAACTCCTTTAGGCTTGTGATATTTGTGGAGATAAAACATCAAAGATGCAGAGCAAATGGAGTCTGTGGGTAGCGTTGCTGTTGCTGTTATCTAATCAGAGGCGATGTCTCAATTCTACTTCCTGAAACAGGAGCGCCAAAGCTTTCCCCCCACAGATCCACTCACTAAAGAATTACTTTATGCTAGAGACCACACAGCTGTCTCTGCAGCGGATTACTCTCTGGTTATATTGATGTCTGTGTGTGCAAATATGTGGCAAGCTGTGCATTATAATACATTTTTATTTTCCTTTATGGGGGGATGTAGGGACACGTTTGCAAAAGCGGTGCCAGTTCAACAGATGCTGCTGGAGAGTGAGCACCTTCAGCTGTGACATCCACCAGATGTTTCTTTTAAAGGTCATTCCTGTCAGATGTGCAGTTTCTACCAAACATGGAGGTTGGAATTGGAATAGACAAACACGCAGCTATAAAGCAAAGAAATGGAAACAAGTCTCTAAACCTTAAATGACATCGAGTCCTTAGCTGCAGTCCTTACATTGAAATCAAATACATGTACAGGTCCATCTAAAAAAATTAGCACATTGTGCTAAAGTTCATTATTGTCCATAATGTACTGATAAACATTAGACTTTCATATAAATTAGATTCATTACACACAACTGAAGTAGTTCAAGCCTTTTATTGTTTCTAATATTGATGATGTTGGCATGCAGCTCATGAAAACCCAAAATTCCTATCTCAAAAAATTAGCATATTTCATCCGACCAATAAAAGAAAAGTGTTTTAATACAAAAAAGTCAACCTTCAAATAATTATGTTCAGTTGTGCACTCAATACTTGGTCGGGAATCCTTTTGCAGAAATGACTGCTTCAGTGCGGCGTGGCATGGAGGCAATCAGCCTGTGGTACTGCTGAGGTGTTATGGAGGCCCAGGATGCTTCCATAGCGGCCTTAAGCTCATCCAGAGTGTTGGGTCTTACGTCTCTCAACTTTCTCTTCACAATATCCCACAGGTTCTCTACGGGGTTCAGGTCAAGAGAGTTGGCAGGCCAGTTGAGCACAGTAATACCATGGTCAGTAAACCATTTACCAGTGGTTTTGGTACTGTGAGCAGGTGCCAGGTCGCGCTGAAAAATGAAATCTTCATCTCCATAAAGCTTTTCAGCAGATGGAAGCATGAAGTAATCCAAAATCTCCTGATAGCTAGCTGCATTGACCCTGCCCTTGATAAAACACAGTGGACCAACACCAGCAGCTGACATGGCACCCCAGACCATCACTAACTGTGGGTACTTGACACTGGACTTAAGGCATTTTGGCATTTACCCAGTCTTCCTCCAGACTCTGGCACCTTGATTTTCGAATGACATGCAAAATTTGCTTTCATCTGAAAAAAGTACTTTGGACCACTGAGCAACAGTCCAGTGCTGCTTCTCTGTAGCCCAGATCAGGCGCTTCTGCCGCTGTTTCCTGTTCAAAAGTGGCTTGACCTGGGGAATGCGGCACCTGTAGCCCATTTCCTGCACACGCCTGTACACGGTGGCTCTGGATGTTTCTACTCCAGACTCAGTCCACTGCTTCCGCAGGTCCCCCAAGGTCTGGAATCGGTCCTTCTCCACAATCTTCCTCAGGGTCTGCTCACCTCTTCTCGTTGTGCAACATTTTCTGCCACACTTTTTCCTTCCCACAGACTTCCCACTGAGGTGCCTTGATACAGCACTCTGGGAACAGCCTATCCGTTCAGAAATTTCTTTCTGTGTCTTACCCTCTTGTTTGAGGGTGTCAATGATGGCCTTCTGGACAGTAGTCAGGTTGGCAGTCTTACCCATGATTGCGGTTTTGAGTAATGAACCAGGCTGGGAGTTTTTAAAAGCCTCAGGAATCTTTTGCAGTTTAAAGTTAATTAGTTGATTCAGATAATTAGGTTAATGGCTCGTTTAGAGAACCTTTTCATGACATGCTAATTTTTTGAGAAAGGAATTTTGGGTTTTCATGAGCTGTATGCTAAAATCATCAATATTACAAACAATAAAAGGCTTGAACTACTTCAGTTGTGTGTAATGAATCTAATATGTATGAAAGTCTAATGTTTATCAGTACATTACAGACAATTAAATTTATCACAATATGCTAATTATTTGAGAAGGACCTGTATATGCCTTGATGGGTTCTGTTGAGGGGATGCTACAGCTCCTCTAAAGCTGAGTATTACCTGTGATTGCTTTGTGTTCAAAGGCAGCTCCGGTTTTTCACTGTTTGGGATCCACTTACGTAACTGCTGTGGTGTGTGGCCGAGAGCCTTGTGATTACTCCATGGAAACATGTTTTGGTCTTGTTTTCTCTGCTGCAGTACAGAACAGCATCTCAGCCAAGTTTTGTGTAATTTAATACTGATGCTGATGGAAAATGGGACACCTAAACTTACGAGCATGACATGAACTTAAATTTCATCAGTCTGACTGATTGGTAGTCTGAACTGCTTCCTGAGGTAAAGCCATTTTCCTTTTCTCTTCCCCTCAGTATGAACCGATATTGTTTTTTATTTTCTAGATTCAACTCCAGCATGCAGAGGTTTTTCATGGGGACATCTAAGAAAAATGTGGCCAATGGTAACGCTGCGACCAGCAGTGAAATGGAGGACGGTAATGCTTATTTAGAAAATGTTTGGGCTGACGAGCAGTCATCGCTTTTATTCTTTGAAGGTAAGGTTAATCAGACAGGCCTAGTCCTTAATAAAGGCATAATTTAAGCCTCATTCTGTTAAAATTTGGGATGTTTTCTCCCCTTGAGGGGCTCCTTTCTGCTGGATTAACTTTAATTACTTTGGCTAATATGTTAGAAAGCTGGCTAAGAAGCAGTGGAGGACAAGATCATTGCTGCTTTGATGAAAAATACACGTAGCCAAAATTTCATCCAAGCAAGTTTGGTTTGCAACTACATTTTTATGCCATTTCTTTAATTTCAAAACCTTTTTAGAAGCATCTCATGTTTAAAGGTGCAGTGTGTAAGAATGCAGTGAGTCTAATGTCCATCGTGTTGGCGGGAAGGTTGTACTGAAACATATTTCATTCTCAGCCGGCTGCGGGGTTGTCAGTTTTTTTCCTTTAAAAATAAAGGAAGGATGGATGTAGCTACTTTTACCCGTCAGCGAGCGTGGGTTTACTCTGTCTCCTGCAGGCTAACGCTGCAGCGCCGGTGTTTGTATTTAGACTATGGCCGACCAAAAGCTCCAGGGTTGCTAAAATAACTGAAGCCAGTAATAAAAGCAACCAGAAGTCATTTTCTGTACCCCTAAAAAGCCACGGCATCTTTTTGATTTACTTGAATATCTTGTGAAGCCGGCTAGAGGCTAAGGATGAGCTAACAATGCTAACGGTGAATTAGATGTAAATATTCGGCTCTAAAAATATCCTAAGCCACTTTTTTAATGGCCAACACATCAATATTGCGCGTGTGTGCGTGCGTGCGTGTGTGTGTGTGTGTGTGTGTGTGTGTGTGTGTGTGTGTGTAGTCGTTCAGATCAATAACAAGGTAAACGACACTTCCACATTGCTGGAGGCATATTACCATAAGTGTAGTAAGTGGTATTTACCGTAAAACACCTAGGGTGCTAGCACCAGGTATGTTGGGGTATGCAACCCTGGTCTTGGAGTGCTGCGATCCAGCATGTTTTAGTTGTTTCCCTGTTCCAACACAACGGATTTTAATCAGGTGATTACCAGGCTTCTGCAGAGCTTGATAACTTGGTTAGCAGGTTAATCAACCATTCAATTTGTTGTGTTGAAGCTAAAACATGCTGGACAGCAGAAGCCAAAGACCAGGATTTCCTACCCCTGAGAAACGGCGGTATTATTTACTCAGTCTGTCGCTGTCCTGTCCTTGAGCAAGACGCTTAACCCACCTTGCCTGCTGGTGGTGTTCGGAGGGGCCGGTGGCGCCTGTGTATGGCAGACTCTCCTGTCAGTGTGCCCCAGGGCAGCTGTGGCTACAATGTAGCTCATCACCACTGGGGGTGAATGGGTGAATGTATTTTAAAGCGCCTTGGGGGATTCCAGGACTCTAGAAGGTGCTTTATCAAATACAGGCCATTTATCAGCTTCTGTGTATGACTCATCTTTTATCTAGAATCTTCTGGAGCTGATCCCTAACTGGCAAACGTCCTGAAACTCAGAGTGAGGGATTGCAGGTACCAAATTCGACCACAGGATGTCATTTTTACTTCATTCCTACATGATGCACCTCAAGTTTTACATTTCCTAATAATGATGCCAATTAGAATTTAAACTTCAAACAAGTAAAACTCAATTTCTTTGAGCCACAGTTCTCCATTTCTTTTTCCTACCTCTAACTTTTAATAACTTGTAGTCGTAACCCTTCTGAGAGATGCAACTCTTCCCACTTTGGCTGCATTGATGCTAACACGCCTGTCTGTTTAGCCTTACTAAACTTATTCTTGCTCATTGTCAACAGTGTTGTGCTGCTGTGTGCCAGTTTTTTTTATTTCTGAGCTGATTTCCTTCTGCACGTCTCTGGAGCGCAGACCTACTCACTCCTGAAGTGGTAATGAATTTCACAGGAGAGAATGTTTGTGCCAGCTCCGTTTACTCTAGTAATTTATGTGCATTGGTGCATGCATAATAAGTCAAATTAAAGCAGAGTTAAGCTAATATGTGTTCTGTAGGACTTGTTTATACTGGATTATAAAGCTAATTCTGAGCAGAGGGCCGGCGGGGCTGCACAAATAGCCGAGGCTCATCATTTGGTCTGTCTGCTGCCTCTGAGGCTCTAATCTCAAATGGTTTTGGGGGAAAGTTTCTTGATTCATTTTGTTGTTTTTTTAATCAATTTCTTTCGGCACAAATGCTAGGGGTATGCAAATTTCAAAGCTGCATCAGGCAGTTTGGGAATGCTATTTAAAGTTCAGTATCCTTAAATGAGCTCACCACAAACTCATTAACCAGTAGGTTAGGGTTAGGCTGGTGAAAATGATCCTTGGGAGGGTTGCGTGAAATATTTCCCATCTTAGTCCCTATTATAACAGTTGAAAATTTACTACAATTCCTTAACAACCATTAATTTCCCTCTTTCTAATAAAGTGTTACAGAAAGTAAATTTTCTAATTTACAGGAAGTAGAAAATAATTATAATACTGCAATAAATGCACAAGCATGTGTTCAGTCTCCATTAATCAGCTCAAAGCTGCCCACCTCAGGGTGCAATACTCATCTTGGCCAGTGGATGGCAGTAACGCAGAATATAAATCAGATATGCTGTTTTAAGTTATATAATCCCATAAAATGAGAACAACTAAACAGAATTTACAGCAACAGCTATGATTTCAGCTCTGTTAAACCCACAGTGAGTGTGTGTGAATGAGGAAGTGACAGTGTGTGAAATTTTGATCCAGCACCTTCTAGCATGCCAGTTAGTTGTTTTCTCTATAGGGAGCCTAATTAACAGATTAACAGGCTTCCACAGAGCTTGGTGAGCTGCTGAACAGGCAAATCGATGGTATTGGAGTAGGGTAACAACTAAAACAGGCTTGATACAGTCCTCAGAAGGGTGTTGACTACCCCTCCTATAGATGAACATCCAGTTCAGACTTTTAAGTTGTTTCAACTCTGACTTTTAAGCCAACATCTGAGTTTGAATTAGAGGTGACTCTAATCTGTGTCCATCGTCATCGTCTGTAATTCAGTTTAACGTGTGACTCGATCCCTTCAGTCAAACCCAGCAAGTCTTACAGCCGTGGCTCTGTGGTAATGGTGGATGAGATGATGAACGCCAGTCCTTCGAAGTTCAGGTTTCCAGAGGCCGGCCTCAGAGTCATGGTCACAAGCCACTTTGGACCCAAAACCCGCCTTCGCATGGCCAGTCGTCTCATCATCACAGAGGTACAGCAGCTGTTTCTGCTTTGGTCATCGTTGAGACTTATATAAGCCCTGAAAATTCCCCCTTTGTGCAGTTTTGATCATCTAAAGTAAGCCCCAGTTAGAAGTGGTTGTAGCAGCGTGTGTGCTCATCTGCTCTTTGACTTAGTTTCTTTTTTCTGAAAGCGCCAGAAGTTGGTGCAAGCTTCCAATGGCATGGAGACACAAGTGGCTGATGGGAAGGTTGAAATCGAAAATGGAAACGTGCCAGAGGACAAACCCACCGAGTTGGAGGAGAGCGACTCCATCTCTCCGTTTCATATTCCAAGTAGGTGATTCATGCATTCACTCTGGGCATGTGCAAGATGGCGTTTGGGAGGATGGATTTCTTCGAGAGGTGCAAAGATCTGATCAGTCATATTTCAGAGCTGTTGTGTCCGTAGGTACTGATTTAAAACTCCACGTTGGTCATTTGTGCTGAAAGGAGATCTCTGTTGGACAGTTGAATTTCCTTTTGCTTCAGCAGCTATCGATGTCTTCTCAGATTAGTCAGCGGTGTCTCAAAGATGGACTAATGATCGTCTCTGAGAAAAGCTGCCCTTTTCTAAAGGTACAGCTGGTGGGAAAAGATCCTTATTTATCATAAAACAGAAGACGTGTCAAAAGATGACATCGTGCTGCAAGTAAAGCGGAGGCTAAAGTTTTCCAAGGTGCACAGCTTGGTCTCAGGCTGTTTTAAATGTGAAAATGTGCAGGAAAAAAGCTGCAAAAGTCAAATTAAGTAGATGATCACCACTCTGGAGCCAGATTATATCTGATTAATGAATAAAAGACGGAAGTAGTACTTTAAAATGTCTGAATTAAAGTAGGAAAGAAGGAAAATTGTTGCTTGAAATTTGGATATTGAATAATTATTGCATGTTTCAATGATAATTGAGTAATATTTAAATAATTTAATCAAATGATTTAAATATTTGATTTATTTATGTTTATGTTTATTTATTTAGCAGACGCTTTTATCCAAAGCGACTTACAATCTATAACCTATAGGGCATGTTGTGATCTGTGGGGGAAACGGGAGTACCCGGAGGAAGCCCACGCATGCATGGGGAGAACACGCAACTCCACGCAGAAAGGCCGCAGCCGAGTTTCGAACCTGCAACCTTCGTGCTGCAAGGCAACAGTGCTAACTGCGCCACCATGCGGCCAGCCACCATATTTAATTAGATATTCTTAAAATAATTTAATAATATTGCCTTCTTGGATAATATTTGAGTAATATTATTGGATATTAATTAAATGTTATTCAAATATTTAATTATGTAAATAATTTGAATAATATTGTAAAAATTATAATATAATAAATTAAAAACATTGAATAATAGTGCAAAAATAAAAAAATAGCAAAAATCATCTGTTTTGCACAAATGTGCTGCATAGTCACATTGATAAAAGTAGTTTTTCCCAAATATTTTAAAAATTCTGGTAAAACGATGTTTTTGTTGATTAGATAATAGAAAAAATAAACACCATTTTAAAAATGTTGCCAAATCTTTTCTAACTGATCCAAAGTTGAGAGTCCAGGTCTAGAGCTGAGTGTTTTCCTCCAGGTGGGATTGGCAGTAAGCTGAAGTGGCTGATCTCATGGCCCCTGCTCCTGCTGCTGTTCTTCACCATCCCAAACTGTGCCAAACCTCGCTGGGAGAGATGCTTCATGCTCTCCTTTCTTCTGTCTACCGTTTGGATTGCAGTTTTCTCCTACTTAATGGTCTGGATGGTGAGTTTTTGAACTATTTAATACTTATTCCTAAACTAATTTAATTTAGCTCGACTGAAATGCTGAAATAGTTTATTTAAAACAATGCAGAGATGCTCTATAAGCCCTTGAGTTACTTTAAAATTAATCTGAATTGAGACCATAAATGATATTCCTAATCCTAACCCACCATCTGAAGACGTAGATTGTATGTATTTTATAACTTTGCTCATAATACAAAATCCTTAAACGTCCAGCTGTGGAGCACACGAGAGATTGTTTGCCTATCTTACGAGATAATTAGTTTAAATCCGGTTTACTAAAAACACATTTTGAAACCATTTAAAGGAGTTCTTCATCCATTTTGAAACATTTGCACCAACATGGTGTAAAAGTCTCATCTTTAAAATTCTGAGGTTTACAAGATTTGACAAATGTTTACATAATCTTCAATTTTTGCATGACTGAAGGATTCTGGGGTTATTTACAAGCATGAACGTCAACCATTGAGATGGTGGCAACAGGTTTTGGTTTTGGGTGGGCCTCGATTAATGTTGTTGAATCATAAATGCTATTGGACAAGCTAACCCTGGAGGCATCAGCGGCGCGGGACAGTCAATCCACACTGCGAGCAGCGCCGCATCTCTGCCGTCCTCACTGGACTCACAAAATCACCAAATCACTCGACTTCATCCGCCATTAAAGCAAAACGAAGAAAAACATCACGTCCACGATGACACACACCTTGCACTTCTCCAAAGATACTGGTAGTAAATTTGCCATGAGGTCACAAGTATAGATGTTTCACCCAACAGTGGATTTAAACCCACAATCTCCCAGTCTCACGGCAAACACTCATACCACTAGGCCACTGAGCTGCTGCCTTAAAGGTTCTGTGCCGTGGCCGGTTTGGATCAACCACATAGACTATTGGATTGGATTTGAAGCAGCAATGTTCCGCTGCCGTTAACTCGCCGCTGATGCCCCCATCGTGGACCCGGCATGAGGCAGGAGTGTCAAACACTTTAAGATGAGAGCTGGATTCATATTGAAAGACTTAATGGGTCACAGAATATTTTGTTTTCCTTTTAATAAGAAAATAAATTTATGATTTTTTTTTTTGGACTTGTGCTGCTCCAAAAATGCCCCACATAGACAAATTAGTGCAAATCTGAAGATAAGATGATGTGACCATCTAGAGTACCAACGGCCTGTTAAGACAAAAAAAGTGCTTGTGGTAGCAGGACAAAGCCACTCCGAGGGCCCCAAATGGCCCCAAGGACCCACTTTAGACATGCCTGATGTGTGGTATTAATCACGTATTGTTAGCTAATGTCAAGTGACATGGTCACAGACTAACATGGTGAGCTAATATCAGAAAACAAGAACTTTAAAGGTGCAGTATGTAAGAAAATCGTAAAATTTCTGAAGTGAAATAATCCCTACAGTCTGTCTCAATCATGTGTGCAAGAAGGTTATACTGTAACATATTTTAGTCGGCTGTGGAGGTTGTCAGTTTTTCTTTAAAAATAAATGGAATGGCGTAGTTACTGTTTGCCGTCAGTGAGTGTGAGGTTGCCGTGTCTCCTGCGAGCTAACGCCGCAGTGCCGGCATTTGTAATTCCGTTACGGCTGGCAAAAATCTCGAGTTGTTTAAAGAACTAATGCCGGTAACAAGACGGACCCAGCTGCTATTTCCTGTACCCCTAAAAAGCCACGGCATCTTTTGGTTTTACTCTAAAATTGGGTAAAGAAGGCTAAAAGCTAATATTGAGCTAACCGTTAATTAGAAGCAAATAGTTGGCTAAAAAGTAATCTCAAGCTACTTTTTCAATTAGCAACAACTTGATGTTACAGTGAAATGTGTGGGTGAAGTAAATAATGTGTCAAACGTAGTGTTTTACTTCCTTTGAGTCACTCAGAGCTATACAGTGAGACGGTAAACCTCCCCTAATGCCAGAGATAAATTACTGTAATAAGTGTAGTAAGTGCTCCCACTGTAAAACACCCAAGAGCGCCAGCACCAGCTATGATGATGTATTTATCTACTTATCAGCTCAGTGTGTGTGACTCCTCTTTGCTTTTTATCTAGAATCTTCTGGTGCTGATCCATAACTGGCAACAGCCATGAAACTCACAAAACAGGAGTGAGAAAGGCATTGCTGTAACCAAATCTGGCCACAAGATGTCAATTTACTTAATTCCTACATAATGCACCTTTTAAACCGTGTGGCAGAAGCCATTCAGTAGAACTTCAAAGGGCAAAAGAGCATTTGTACACTTAAAAATAATAGCTCATTCCCTTTAATTCCAGTTATGGGCCAAGTTGACCCTAAAGATTTAAACTGTTTAATGACGTTTTTATGAAGGAAATACTTCAGAGCATTATGGGATGGTGTGCTGTTGATCTGACGTGCTCTCTGTATTGTCAGGTTACTATAGTTGGCTACACCCTGGGAATCCCAGATGTCATCATGGGCATCACATTTCTTGCGGCAGGCACAAGCGTTCCAGACTGCATTGCGAGCCTCATTGTGGCTCGGCAAGGTATTTCTTTTCCTCTTTGGATGGTTGTATTTAATTATAGAAACTGCTTTTGGGTCTGTTGGTGCAGAACCGGATACCTCTGCATCTCCAGAGAGTGACGTAATGCTGCAAGAGGTTGTTTTTCTCCTCTGGGTTAATTTAAAACACCTCTACTCATTTTTTTTTTACATTTCAGATTGTGGTTTTAAAACTATCTCCTGAAAGTTTAGAAGAAAACTTGATTTTCATCTTCGTTTCAGGTTTGGGAGACATGGCGGTGTCCAACTCCATTGGCAGTAACGTCTTTGATATTTTAGTGGGACTTGGGGTTCCCTGGGCGATGCAGACCATGTGTGTCAGCTATGGATCGGTGGTACGTCAGACCTGGTTCTTTCTGTCCTAGCCGCCTAAAGACCAGCTTTGAGGTAGAACAGATTCTGATCACACGTTTTTTTTTCAGGTGATGATAAACAGTCGAGGGCTGGTCTACTCGGTGGTGCTTCTGCTGGGTTCTGTGGCACTTACGGTGAGATTCCTCCATCTTTATTTTTTGTAGAATGCTGAATATACACGCCACATCAGTGGTGTGGGAACGCCGTTATATACACAACACACTTGACATTTACTCATCTGTGTCGAAAGCTTTTATATCCCACATCTGATCCTACAAACGTTTCACTGAGTGGAAATAAACAAGTCAAAAAGACGGGGACAATTACAGATGCTCTAATCAGTGCAATGATTTTTTTTATTTGCTGTTTAACTTTGTCTTTGCTGTGCAATTAATCATATCTGCTCCTGCTTCTATTGCATTAAGCTCCTTTGGTGCACAGTGTTGCACGTTTTAGTTGCAGAATCTAACTCTGATGCAGCAGATGCAGGACCAGCTTTTTTTCCCTTACGTTTGCTTTTGTGTGCAGGTTTTAGGAATCCACCTGAACAAGTGGCAGCTCGATCTTAAGCTGGGCGTGTACGTCCTGGTCCTCTACGCTGTGTTCCTCTGCTTCTCCATCATGATCGAGTACAACGTCTTCACTTTTGTCAACCTGCCCATGTGCATAGACCTGTAGAGCACAGCGGCATGGCTCCAAAACCAAAAGCTGTCTCTCTTCTGATGACACCGGACCTATCTGCTGACTTCTTCATTTCTTCTTGCTTGCACTCTTTCTTTCTTGTTGTCTAAATCCAAATATGAGTTTTTTTACGAGGCAGAGTACCAGAACGTCAGGCTCAACTGTGCATGCACATAGTCCTACAGTGCTGGTCCTTAATTTGGGGCAACGCCCGTTACTGCAGTCAGATTTCAGTTTGCCCTTACATCTGCCAACTTCTTACCCCTCCAGCATGCCTTTAGTTGTCGGGGACCTCCAGAATCTTAAGTGCCCCTTGTTGATTGTAGGCGTCGTCACTGTTCACATCTTCTTTCTACACACCAGATCAGTGAAGGAAAAAAGCGTCCTGCAGTGAATCCTAATAAAAAAAAGTTGCCACAATGTCCTAAAAGGAAGTACGCTTTCTTTTCCTTTCGTCCTAAGACGAAGAGGACAAACGGGTCTTGTCCATGGCAGCTCCTCGTCCTCAGCTTGGACCTGACTCCCCTAGCATGGCCGTAGGCAACGGGGAGCAGATTCTGTTAGCTTTACTCCCCACTCGTTTGATCAAGTCTGCTTTGTTTTCCTAAAGACCTCCTGTCAGGACACTTTATGTCAGGATGCATCACAGTCTCGATCAGCTGACTGATGTCATGCATCTGCACCAGTGCAATGTAAATTTGTAAACACTTTTTTTGTATTTATTTTTTTCAAAAAACAAAATTGTCTAGTTTGAAATATAGAGAAGAGCTTGTTGCAAATGAGTGTTTATCTTTCACACTAAAAAAGAAAATAATTGCACATGAAATGCTTTGCTTTGTGTTGAGGTTTGACCTCCTGGAGGATCGTGTGTCTGGAAGTTCTCTCCAGCTTTATTTTCACTCAGTGGGTTATTTCTCTTTTGTGTTCTCTGCACAACTTCACAAAAGCTCAACATCTATTACATGTGTTGCATCGATTTATTTATAAGAAGGCAGCGATGTGACGGTGGTCGCTCTGAGTGCAAAGACGCCAAGACTTCCCGTCTGTGGCGTGCTCTGGCCAGCAGGGGTCACTGCAGCCCCTTTACCGGTGCAGAGGTGGCAAGTTTTCAGGGAAACTCTAAGATGGACACATCTGGGAGGTGACGAGGGTTTCATTTTGTTGCATTGTATGTAGATATTTGCACTTTAACAGCCATCCTGTCGTTCTCAATCAACTAGTGCTTCCTTATGTGCGTTTGTACTTTCTGTGTGTGTGTGTGTGTGTGTGTGTGTGTGTGTGTGTGTGTGTGTGTGTGTGTGTGTGTGTGTGTGTGTGTGTGTGTGTGTGTGTGTGTGTGTGTGTGTGTGTGTGTGTGTGTGTGTGTGTGTGTGTGTGTGTGTGTGTGTGTGTGTGTGTGTGTGTGTGTGTGTTGGGCTCACGTTTCTGGACTCAATCTTCAATAATTTGAGCTCACCAGTCTGTCTGCAGTGCATGCTGGGACATTAAACGGCTCCTCCTCCACAGTACAGCAAAAGGCCAAGGGCTATTGGGTGGTTTCCATGGAGACCGCCTGGCCCACTTTGTTAAAAAAACAAACAAAGAAATCGGCAGCTAAGATCACTGCAATCCAGACATTTTGACAACTAGTGAAAATGCTTGTGTGGAGTCAGAAAGGGTGAGGAGCGCAGAGATGAAAGTGTGTGTGAGTGATGAAAATATCCCTCTGACTGTTGGTGGAGGGCTCTTGTATATGCAATCTTGTATGTAAAGAATCTATGTGACAAAGGCCCCTGTGAGGTTGCCATATAAAGACGGGGTTCCTGTGGAGATGTGATGTCACTTTATTCAATAGTTCATGTGTGAGCTCACAGGTGTGCGACAGCAGAGGAACCGTGCACAAGGAAAGAACACGTCTGGAAGCGGGGATACTCCCACTACTCCTATTCTTTCTCTACTCCTGCACAAGGGCATTAACTCCTTGCCGACCCCAATTAAAGGAGCAGAGAGGCAGCAGACTTTTCCTAACGGCCCCTGGGACTCTTGGATGGCTGACTCTAAGGAATAACAACTTTGGAGCCGATGAATCTGCTACTCTGTTATAAACGCAGCCAAACATCCCAGACAGACTCCTCCACACCCGTCTGGCACGTTCAAAGACGTGCAAAGCCTAGTTTCTTTGTAGCTTTCTGAAAAGAAAGCGAGTTGTTGGTTTGAATGTTCGGTTTGAGGGTAGTTGCGTGGCCATGAGCACAGCAGGATTCGAAACGCTGCTCTGTCCTCGTCCCAATCATGAGTTCTCAGCGTTTGTCTGGCTTGCACTTTTTGTTACAAAGTCACTTTTTTTGGATGAGGACGTGAAGATTTTGATGCAATACTTGCTGTGGCTCAAAAAAAAAAAAACAGATCCAATGGACATCTGTGTAAGACAAATGTCGATTCAAAGCGAGAGAACTGGTGTTTATGGGCGGAACGCGACCTGATGCACTGTGAGCTCTATGTGATGTTGGAGTCGTTTGTCAAGAGTAATTAATGATCAAAAATAATTAATATAAAGTTGGTTACAATAAAACATTACCGAGGACATCTGTATAACTTATATGAATGTATTGTCTTGCTATACTGGACATATCCAATCAATGCATTTTACTGTAAAGCAATAACGTGAAGAAAAAACAAATAAAATTAAAAAAAACCCTACTGTGAACTGCTTGAAATATAAATTCCTGTTATTGAGGGACTAGTTCACTTTGAGGCAACTGAAAATTTAATGGACACTTTTTTTTAAATATATTAAATCTCTTTCTTGAGCCACTATGTGCTAAAATTACCCTTTACATTGTTAGTGAAAGGCCACCCGGCCATTTCACCCCCGTGGCCAGAATAACACACTTGAAACTTTACAATGGCTGGCGGTCCGACTATCCGTTGCTACTTTGGGGAAATGGGCAGACCAATTACGTCAAAGGCTGTTAACCTGTAGAGGTGCTACTGCTTGTTGTATGTTTACCTGACAGTTGGCTTGTAAATTTATCATTATACTATAAACAAGAAATTTCTCCCATTATTTGGTCATTCATGGAATCATGATAAACAAGGTCTTTTTCATAAATAAATCACGACAAACACCATTTTGCCAATAATTATATTAAGTATTTTTGAGTAATCTCAACAATTTAACAGACCGTGTAATAAGCGTGTTTCTATACTGTAACCAAAATCGAAACTGACACGCTAGCACGTATAGTCAGAACACTGGGCTGGTCTATTGGAGTTAGAAAAATAGAGCTGGCATACCTGGTGCTGCAGTCTGCTTCCAGCACGTTTCCTGCATGTTCTACAACATGGGCACAACTGATTTGTGTAATGTAGTGATGAATCGCTCCTCTAGACACTGAGGAAGGCATTAGGGATGTTTAAGCTGTTTCAGATGTTGCAAAGATGAACGCAAAGCGAGGAGACAGGTTTTGGTTTCGGTTCTACAGACAAATAATAGGGGGTGTTAAAACAAGCCAAAACTGTACTCTCCCTTTAAGGTTTTCATAGTATGTGGGCGTTCTTTTAGCTCATATTACTCTTTTGCAATGAGTTTCAGTTAATCCGGAGTTTATTCTAACATTTTGGGCCAGAAAGTTGTGGTTTGAACCCTGTGAAATTGATTATGTGAAAATAAATGTGCTCCACGAAACCATTTGAAATTCAATTCCATTTTATTTATATGGCGCCAAATCACGACAAGAGTCGTCTCAAGGCACTACACATAATAAACATTCCAATTCAGGTAAGTTCATTAAGCCAATCAGAAAAAATGTTTCATATATAAGGAACCCAGCAAATTGCATCAAGTCACTTACTAGTGTCTGTGACTTTACAGCAATCCTCATACTAAGCAAGCGTATAGTGACAGTGGAGAGGTAAACTCCCCTTTAACAGGAAGAAAACTCCAGAGGATCCTGGCTCAGTATAAGCAGCCATCCACCACGACTCACTGGAGACTGAAAAGACAGCACACACACACACACGCAATGTGTCTATGGTTACATTGTGATTTCTTTGTAAATATTCCATTTGGCGAGAGATAAACTTTACTGTATTTATCCTAGTGGATCTATAATTAAACGGATAAACTAGTAGTAGCACATCCGATGTCAAAGAAAGCAAAAAGTTATTAGGAGAGGGAGAAAGGTTAAGTGGTTTGTAGCAGTGTGCTAGACGATGGCCCCCTCCATGAGGCCACCACAGCTCAGCAGAAGATCATTGTAGCTTCTTCTGAGGAGAAAAACACTTAAAGAGAAAATAAAGTTAACAGCTGAAATTGCAGAAAATAATACAGTTAAAGAGCAGACTGTAGAAGAAAGTATCAGAGTGTGGAAAGTGGTCAGTGTGTCCTCCAGCAGTCTAAGCCTATAGCAGCATATTACACTTTTGCAATGAGTTTCAGTAAATCTATTTGTTCACAGTGGAAACTTAATCTTGATCTAGTTCTCTTGTCTCCTATTACTCAATATTTTCCCCTGAGGACATAAGGACTGTGATTTCTCCCCAGCTTCAGGAGTGAGATGAAAGCGTTCTCACTTAAATAAATGGTTTACCAGAACCACAATGTAGTTCCAGGTTTTCGCCACTGGAGAGAGACAACTCTGAAGTTGATTAGAAACTGAGTTTGTAGCACTGTAGCTAACTGGGTTTAACACTTTGACTCTTCCTTCTTGATAGACTCATGTCCAAGAGAACAAAAAGTACATGTACTTTCTTCTTCACCTCCATGCTATTTATCCCAAATGCAGACAGAATAACAACTAGAACTCTAAGAAGGTGCGATACAAATGCAGCAAACTTTATTTGCCCTAACCAGTGTTGATCGGGTCACTGGTACAGGCGACTGGGGAAACGCCCGGTGACCAGTTACGCAGTGGCTGAAATGCCGCAGAGCTCCACCTAGATCTTTTCGTTTTTTCCAAATCAATTATGTAGGCTGAGACGTAATTAAAAGCAGAAGCACTGGAGGACAACTCTAAACACGCTGACTCGGCTCTCCCGTTGCACTAAATGCCAGATGAATCAAAGTTTTGATGTGAGCAGTTTAAGATATGTAATGAATCTTTGCTGGTGAAATAAGCCTCAAGGTAAAAGTTAATGGGTTTGATGTTCTCCTGCGCTGCAGCTGTAATTAAAGCTGTTCTAAAGGGGGGCGAAAAAACGATTTTTGTGTTAGTCCCTTAGGTTTTCCTCTTTTTGAAAATGTTTGCAGTTATTTTAAAGTCTTATAAGTTGTGGAAAAGTTAAGCAAATAAACAATTCGTGATTTCTGATGGTTACTTTCTCCATTTTTGTGATTGCAAATTTCCATACTGCAGTGATTTTTAGCAACCTCTAAAAACACTCACTGGGGGTGGAAGAAATGCCTGTCTTGAACACTTGTGGTTAAGTAAGTTATGCCTTTAATCACCAGCAGGGGGCAATGTTGCAACATGATTCATGTGTCCGGGTTTGTTCCAGAGGATGGATGAATATGGATCTCTCTCTCCCTCCCCACCCATGAGAGTAAAACTCAGTGAGTTCAAGTTTCAAAAAACAAAGGGCAACAAAGTGAAGAAATGTTGAAGTTTTATGCTTTCTGTGTTATCTAACCAGCAAAAAAATCTAGATTTCACTCTCCACCATTTGTTAATGATGAATGCTCTTGATGAGCCACAAAAGCAGCCATCTGCTGAGGTCAGAATGGACCGGGCTACTGGTGCTTTTCCCTAATGAGCCCCCCTCTTGGCCACCACGCTGAAGCTAACAAGCCTCGCTGTCAGCCGTGATCTCGTGCACTGATGACTTACATTCTCACCTCCTAACAAGCCCGTTCTGGCAGCAACTGTGTATCTCCAGTGAAAGCTGGCTTGTATCACTTCCAGAGGCGAGACCCACGCAGCCTAGCCATGACATGTACAGTCGTGTGATCCTGCTTCAAAAAGTTGTTTATCTCCTCTTCCACCACCCCCACAGTTGTATAGTTTGGGGACATTTTTCTTTCCTAGTTTGTGAGTTGCTCGTACATTTTTGACACCACTTTTCTGTTTGGGTAAATTGCTATGCAGCAGTGATGGATGGTGGAGAAACTGGGTTGCTGCAGTTCTTGAGAGCATGAAGTGTTGTGGGTTCCTCAAAGATGGAATTAGTTCAGGAGCCATGCTGGTTTTGGCTGCGTTTGGACAGAATCTGAAGCTCCATCTCTAGGATTTCTGCCTCTGCTTCAGGACAATGGGGGAAATAACAAGTTTATGGTGCTAGAATAAAAGAAAAACAGCAGAGACAACATACAGAGCTCACTTAGAAAAGTGTGTGTTGCTCTGGCAGGATTCCAACCACAGGAGGGAGAAGAGAGGGAAATGAGTAGCTGAGGAAGAAAGGAGGAATCAAAAAGTAATCTGAGAAAAATTGGTGTTTGGCATTCAGGTGAGAAACTTTGGATAAAATCAAAATATCAAATACGTATCACAGCAGAGTAAGAATAGTTGATCTGGATTCATTCCTGAACCGCGCTGCTCTGGGCGGCTGCATGTTGGAGTAGCTCTGTTGACTATATGTAAGTTTTGCCTGTTTTTGGACATTTTTTCTTCTAGTTTCTCAAGAAAAACTATTTTTTTGACCTTTTACTTTTCTGTTTCTGGTGCTGTGAAGCTTAGAGGATTTTTACTACTATTTTTCCACTTTTTGAGCATTTATGATGCGTAACCATGGCAACACGCTGGTTTACAATCAGGAGCAGCTGATTAACATTGGAAAGGCTGAAATAATACCTCAACTGAAGCCACGAATCCCAAATGAGCTAAAACGCAAGAAGCGTGGGTGCAGAGCAGGAGCAAAACGGAGACAGAGAAAGAGGAAATTCAAACCATCTCTTCCATCGATTATAACGGGCAATGTGAGATCACTGGCCAACAAGATGGATGAACTCCAAGCCCTTTCAAGGACTCAGCCAGAGTATCGGCAGTGCAGTGTTATGTGTTTCACTGAGGCGTGGTTGCAGGACTATATCCCCGATTCCAGCATCTCTCTGCCAGGATTCCTGACTGTACGAGCAGACAGAGATCTGAAGAGGAGCGGGAAAAGAAAAGGAGGTGGAGTGGCAGTGCTATTTTTGTTTTTTAATCAATTTCCCTCTGGGATTAATTTAATTTATTTTCCAGACTCATATTTACATTATGTCAAATCAGGGGACATGAAAATTTAATATATTGCATCTTTGAATTGGAGAAAAAAAGTAGTTTATGACAAAAAAGATGAAACGATCAGTTTTTCTCTTTGAACGACTTTTAAAAGTTTCTCACCAGTGGTGCCCCTATGTTGGGACCAAGTGGGGGCCAAAGACCACCCTAAATTTGTAATTAACCATCTGGCCTGCTTGTGTACAATCTTTTCTGGAGACGCCTTCTTTCAAATCTAGGACATGATGTTCAGAGACGGTGCTGTCGCGCCAAAAAAAAAGCAACTACATGCTCAGAAAACTAGATTCAAATCAAACTCTTTATTTGAGCCGTGGCGCTGGCTCAGCTTAACTCATTCACTGCCATTGACAACTTAAGTCGTCATTTGCATTTTTTTTACTGTGTGGGCATCGGAACGAGCCTCTACACCATGAGAGCAAACATCTCATCTCTAGTCGATCTTCATTTGCATACGTCACACGTCTCGTGATCAGGAAGCAGAACATCCATGTGTCCATCCATCGTTTTGGGCCGCTGCTGTAACAGGGTGAGGCGCGAACCGGAAAAGCTTCTGCCGATCACAATTCAACAACTGATAATGAAAGAATGGATAAAGCTCGAATCGCACGGATTCTTCCTGATGTAAGAGTCTCCGCTTTGTTTTGGTTGTTTTGGCGTCGACATCATCCTAGTGCGCAACGTTCTGTGACTCTTAAAAAAACTGTTAAAACAGTGAGAAACGCTGGCAGCGAAGGGCTTTACCGATCAGGAAACGGCTGACAGCGAATGAGTTAACAGAGGTGTGGACTCGAGTCATTATTTTAATGACTTCTGACTTGACTTGATAAAATCTATAAAGACATGCGACTTGAATTGACTTGCATCTGTTGACTTATTAAATTGAAGTTGGACAGATGACTTGATTATGACTTGAAAATTGTAAGTTAAGGCCTTGGACTTGACTTTGACTTCCACATCATTGACTTTGGACTCGACTTGGACTTGGTTGTCTTTGACTTAGACTTGACTGGAAAGACTTGTGACTTACTTGTGACTTGCAAAGCAGTGACTTGGTCACACCTCTGTCGCTTAATCTGTCGCTGATTCCTCCTGGGCTTTCTCTGATGAATCCACCTTGCTCTACAAAAGTAACACCTTCTTATTTGCACAAATGGTAAGTAGTGATCCCTGCTGGATCTAGCAGAGTGCACTGAAGTGTGAATGATGGCTTTATAGCGGGTCATGCACTGGGACTTTATTAAGGTTTTTTATTTATTACTCTAAATGCCTGAGAAACACTTAAACTTCATAAGGTAATTGTAAAGTAATTTAAAAAAAGAAACATGGGCTACATTTTTGTCACAAATAGGGGCATTCATCACAGTAAATATGTAATGTTTTTTATGAATCAAAATTTTGCTACACTTATTTAAGAAAGTAATTTTATTTCAGTATGTAAAGCATTATTTGGATTCAAAACTAAAATATTTATTTT